GCATGCCTGAGTCTGTTTCCGACGCTCCAAAGGACAGAATACAACATGACATAGAAGTATTCCAGGAACATCTCAAATCGATCTTAATAAGAGACGAAAAAGTCACAGTATTAAAGGCTTTCAGGATGGACAAAATTAAAGACTGAAAACAAGATCCAGACCGACCGAGACCGTTAAAAATTGTCCTTGAGAATGACGAACAAGCGCAGCTACTTTTGAGCAGGAAAGCTGCGCTTAAACACGCCCATCCATCAGTTTTTTTTTTCAGCGGGACTTTTCACCCGCGGAGCGAGAAAAATGGAGGGGGCTCAAGTTGGAAGTCCTCAGGCGGTCGAGTCTGGGCGAGACAAATCTCAGAATAGTGGACGGAAAAATTATACGCGTCCAGAGGCCATTCCTCTGGAGAAAGCCCATAACTCTAACAGCTTAGGAATGACAAAAAGCAGTTCATCCCGATCAGCTCCGACCGGTTTTTGCATTCAATCCCAAGAAATGGATAAACGCCAGCATGCCGGAGTTGCTCGTGCCAAATTGAGATTTTTGTATACCAATGCTCAAAGTCTCGTTTCGAAAATCGACGAACTCAAAGCGATAGTACCGGAACGAATCCCCGGAAACTTGGCTTTATACCGAAATCATGGATGCTGAGATTTCGATACCGGGTTACCAGCTGTTTCGTAGAGACCGTCAAAATAGGCAGGGCGGAGGGGTAGTCGTATATGTATGGGAAGGAATTTCAGCAGTTGAAAGAGCCCACACCCTCTCCCTTGAATATGAATCCGTCTGGATAAAGATAAAGAAGAGTAATGCACAAAATCTACAATTTCTGGCGATTTACAGACCACCAAACCTTCTGGGTGCAGCTGATGAGTCGCTCCTTGGTTTAGTCAAAGACGTAGCTAGCCACCAAGAGGTACTTATTGCTGGGGATTTCAGCGCACCTGCAATAGAGTGGGAAACTATGGCAGTTAATGGTGGACCAGCCTCTTTCAGCAATAAGCTACTGGACCTCACACTCGATCTCCCTCTGGCGCAACATGTGAAGGTACCAACAAGATTTCGAGAGAACCAGAGAGC